CACGCCTGTTGCGGCCACTTGTCCAGCTGGAGAGAATGCAACCGGAAATTTGCAAGACAAAGGCAGAGACAGCCTTCTTTTTAATGGGAAAAGGTTACAGATTTGTCGACTACCTGCCGGGTCGGGGGTGCGGGAATTGCACCCCATGGCAGCAAGTGGCAGATCACCGTCAGGACACGCGATCTTGGCACAATTCTCCAGGTGCACGCAACTATACATCGCAGCTGAAAGCCGGTTTCTCGACACCGTCTGGTGGCATCTCGTGCCGCCGCGTCCATCGTTTCCTGCCGTCTAGTTTCTGCATGTTGTTGGCTGCTACGGGTCATGTCACCTTCTCGTCGTGACGTGGGTGCGTCCACTTCTATGCAGGACGTTATGGCTTCGCAGGGCCTGATTCTGGATGTCTCGATGTTGTGCGGTATGCTGCCGCCACGTCCGAAGGGCCAGTTGCCCAGTTGGAGACATTTGCAACGCCAGTGGCACCGAAAAGCAGAAACCAGCCTTCTGTCCTGGTGTGGGCAGAGAGCCATCTTGTCGACTACGGCACCTGCAGCCCGGTCGGTCAGGAGGTGCAGAAATAGTACAGCTTGGCGGCAAAAGGTGAACTTCAGTGACCCCATCCACACCCCCAGAAACTCATCCCCGCAGCCAAAGCCAGCAGTGATATTCCCATTCCTGGAAGCCATGGCGAAAGGCCACAAGCTCCCTGCGTACCTGAATCGTCCAGTTCCTGATGAGTTCTGATGATGTACAGAAGGAGGTCGTGCGAGGCCACAACTGACCACCCGAAGCGGGGGAGGGGTGGTCGTAGCAGACCCAAGTTGGCCAAAAGTGGACAATGGCCCCTAGTTCCCAGCCACCCCCACGACAGAAACCTGTCACGGCAGGCCACAAAGCTGCGTCGGCCAGTTCCTGACGATCCTTATCGTTTACGTAAAGATCATGCAAGGCCACTTGTGGCCGTCTGTAGGCGTTGGGTGGGCAGACGCCCCTGACACCCACAGCTCGCACAGCAACCCCCAGCCCCACCTCATCCCCCGGACTTCTATCTTTGGCAGCCGTGCTTGATGACCGCAACAGCTCCTTGCGCTGCCACGTCGTCCATCGTCCATCGTCCAGTTCCTGATTTGAAAGATTCACGAGGCACTCTCGCAAAGCCAATATCTGAAACCCGCAGCCATGAGGGGGAAGTGAGAGATTAGCGGCTCTATGCCGGCAATAAGTGGACAATCGCTAGTGATGGACAGTTGCCAACAACAGATCCTTAACCTCTTCCAGAAGTCACGCTCGAAGGCCGCAACTTCCTCGCGCGCCGTAGGATCCAGTTTCTGCGGACCTGCGCCAGCTGCAAAGCCAATACAGGCCATCTGCAGCCCCAAGGGTGTGGCGGGAAGAAGCAAACAGTCGCCACTGACTTTTCCACCGAACCTCGTTGCTCGCTCGCCAGCGGTCACAGTCATCCTCTGGAAGTCGTCTGTGAGACCACATATTGCCGTTGCGAGGTGTGCAGCTATTGTCCGGTCAAGCAGCACCGCGGCGATTGAGCGATCATGTCATTCTAAGCCAAGCGCTCACACAGAAGGTAGCGGCCATGTCGCCTCTGCGCGGGCGAGTTCACCTGATTAAACTCAAGTGGCAGCTCTAGTGTGTAGGAGACCGGCTAGGCACACGCTGGTAGGATGTTGTGCATCTCGCCGAACAATATCTCATGTATTCTACGCCGACCATCATGCATCTGGCATTAACAGGGCACACTATGGCCAAGATGGACTATGTAGTTGGTTTACAACGCGAGCTTCTCTCAAGCCAGCCAGCCAAGAAGATGCCGAGTCTCCTCGCATGTCGCGAGCTAATGGACAGCTGGGAGGGTCTGAAGGCGGCAGTACGAGGCCGCAACCCACCCAAACAGCACGTACACACACATAGCGATACCCGGCCGCGTTGTGCTGCTCACTGGCCGTCGTCGCCGCTCGCAAGTTTTTGGCCAAGCCACGTCAGTATCGATATGAGAACAAAGCGGTCGCGCTGCCAAAACCCTCATCAATTGACCTGAGCTACTTCTGAATAACCTGTCTTGTCCGCGCATCCTGTGCAATAGAACAGATTGTACCCAATTTTCACATATCCGTACCACTGAACGTCGTCCGTACTCATCAGTTCTTCCCCGCGGGTGCAGCGTAAGCAGCGGACTACGAGATTAAATGCCGGGAGAGCTTCCATGATGGTTGGTGACGGTGAGGAATCCTGAGGAA